TAAGGGGCGTGTACATGAGCAGTGGAGATGTGGAGTTAGCCACCCCATTCACATACCACATACATGACGCCCCATGAGCAAGATGAGTTGGCCCATCTTGCATGTTCAGAAAGACTCAAAGCAAGTAAGGGGGTGTCATGTCTGCAGTTGAGTACTAGGAATGCTTACAGCCCAGAGAGGCTTCAATTCCCATTCAACAACTTGCTTGCTTCAGACTCCAGAAGAAGGCAATGGTGTTCTAACATGAAAACCAGCTGGATGCAGTGGCTCACACTTGTAATCTCAGCACTTTGGGAGGCTGAGGTGAGAGGATTTCCTGAGCCCATGGGTTCAAGACCAGCTTAGGTAACTTGGTGAGACCTCATCTCTACCATAAATCCAAAAAATTAGCTGGACGTGGTGGTGAGTGCCTGTAGTTCCAGCTACTTGGAAGGCTGAAGTGGAAGGATCATCTGAGCCCAGCAGGTTGAAGCTGCAGTGGCCGTGAGTGTGCCACTGCACTCCAGGCTGGGTGACAGAGTGAGAGTCCAACTCAAAAAAAAGACAAAACATGACAACCAAGGGATCCTATCATCTTCTTTCTTATTCATGTATTAGCCAGCCACCTAGGCTGAAATTAATGACACAGAAGAAAAGGAAAAGACACAGCAACCAATAATTCGTTTCCTTTTGCATTCTTTTTTACTCATCTGTAAGCCAAAGGCAGGGAGTGTTGGTAAAACATGAGCTAATCTAGTAAAATAAAAATCGTAGAGTTGGTTTTCTGCCACATTCCTACAGTCCTCGTAAGATTGAAACCCATGCCCATGGACAAGCTGTAAAATACAAATTGTGTCATTTCAGCAATTCCACATGGTAGTCAAATGCTTATACTTGCCCTGAAAATTGACATTGCTCAATAGAAAGATGAACAGGGAGATGCATGCTAATAATTTACAGTTTGGACTTTTCTAAGAATGACATTACATAGCAGAAATCTTTATTTTTAAGTACTTTTAATTTTTTTCTGCTTTTTCACCAAGGGACTCCACATTTTCATTTTCCACTTGGCCTGCAGATTACATCAGCAGCCCTGCTGCTTTTATTATTACCCTCAGGAGCGAATGAGGACTGGAGAGAAGGCAATAGACTCCTAGTAGTCCATATTGGCTAGGGGGACAGGTATGTCGTTGAATCCTTGCTTATTGGTCCTTGTCCAATAGGTGATCCAGCTAAGGGGGGTGCTCAGTCCTATCCTTCCCTCCTCTGAGATCTCATCTCTCCTTGGTCTGAGTGAGCATCCTCGTCCCTTCCCTCACCTCCCCATGCCCTTCATCCTCGCCAGTTCCTTCCCCAACCTACAGCAGAGGACGTGTGGCTCTTGCCCTCTATTCTAGGAAAGGCAACATTAGGCCTAGTTCACTAGCAGCAGAGCTTGAGGTGGGGCTGGGGGAGGTTGAGCACTCAGGAGAAGGAGCAAGACACAGGACAGGGAAGGGGAAGGGGATAAGCAAAGACCCTGCTAGATTCTGGCTTCTGGCTGATCCCATAGGGAGCTCTGGAATGTGAATGACACTAAAAGTTGTCCCATCTTTTGACAGAGACTAAGCTGTCGTATCTCCATGTCAGTTTTCCGGTGGCTGCAGACTGCCCCAGGAGTCATGGTGGCATGACCTCGGGGTTTGGGTCTCCTGCTCAGCCAAGGACAATTCTCCTCCATAGAAGGGGCCAGATACGTGCTTCTAGCCCTAGTGGGATTTGGTGCCCTTGCTCTGAAGGGGAATCTGGGCAGGATGCCAGCCATATCCACTACAGAGTCCAACCCTGAACAACAAAGAAACCGACATCCAGAAACCAGAGTGACATTCCCGAAGGCACTTGGAGATGTAATGGTTGACCCAAGTGGAAGCCACATATTCTAACTTCCAGGCCAAAGCTCAGTTATTCTGTTGTCACAGTTCTGCCCAGGGAACACAAGGGCTTTGCATTGCTTTCATTTTCTCCATTTGAATCAAGGAGGTAACATCACCACAACTAGGTTATTGTGAGGGACAACCCAGATGAGTGCTCCTGGGCAGAGCCTACCACAGAGCAATGTGCAATATGCATGCAACATGGAGAATCATTTTCACACATCGTTGTGGTTTTCTTGCTCATATTCCCTGATAAGAGACCTCCTTCTTTCCTAAGTGTGTATTTATTTTTGGAAGCACTGGAGTTGATATAAGGGGTGTGTAAAGAAAAAAGCCAAATATTCTGTGTTCAGCATCTGACTCCTCAACTTGGGTTTTGAATTCCGTAGCACTAATTGTGGAAAACAGAGTTTATTATGAGAGAAAATAAATGAACAGATTCCTAGATTGCCTCTTCATACAACAAGAGCTAAATTTAGCCACAGGATGACAGAAAGATCATGCCTGAAGGACAGTGGTGTCTTTCATTCACTAATGAATCCCCAGAATCTAGACTTGGCTCTGGCCCTAGTGAATACTCATTATCTTCCATCAGAAGAAGAAACGTGTTATATTACACAGTGCAGACAGGTAGGAACAAGGGAACTCTACAGTCCATCTGGAGGAAATTTCCCTCTCGACATGAAGGTGGTGTAGAAAGCCTTCCTCCTCTAGCGAGCGAGAACTAGAAAAGGCAGGGAAAGGGTTGCTGAGGGTCCTGACTCATCAGGGGAGGGGCTGGGAGCACCCCCAGCAGGGACTAGGCTCCTCATTCCCCTGGGCCAGGCTGTCCTGTGGCTGCACAGTCAGCCCATGATGCCTCCCACATGGAGACGGTTCCTGCAATGGGTTGGCCCTGGTGGGGAGTGAGGTTAGCTGTGGGAGTCCTCCAGCATGGAAGCTGGGGAATTCAATGGAGAGTCCCGTAACTGCCCTCATGCCCCAGACTAGGAAAGTACTGCAGGAACTAGTGGGGTCAAAGACCAAGGGTGAGTGACAAAGAAAAAACTTTAAAAACTTGGGCAGACCTGTCCTGTGTGCATTTCAGAGGCTACTACATGTGGCAGTTCCTTTGTCCTCTCCCTTCACCAATGTCACATGGTGATAGGCACCCCTCCGGATTCCCCAAGGAGGCACATATGGTCAGAGGCTGTGTTAATATGGATGTGTTTTGACATCCACATGAGATTTGCCCTGGAGCAAGTTCTTAATGCTCCTTGTGTTACAAAAATCCACAGGCAACCTGGTGAGGTTCATAGGCCCCCCTCCTTTTTTAAATAGAGATTTTTTGTTTTTTTTTGAGTTGCAGTCTCACTTTGTCATCCAGGCTGCAGTGCAGTGGCTTACAGCTCATGGTCACTGCAGCCTCGACCTGCAGGGCTCAGGTGATCCTTCCATCTCAGCCTTCCAATTAGCAGGAACTACAGGCATGCACCATCATGCCCAGCTAATTTTTGATTTTTATTGTAGAGACGAGGTCTCGTCATGTTGTCTAGGCTGGTCTCGAACCCATGAGCTCAGGCAATCTTCTTACCTCCACCTCCCAAAGTGCTGGGATTACAGGTGTGAGCCGCCGCACCCAGCCATAGGTCCTTTCTTAAAACATAGACTTTAAATCCATTAAATAAAATACTGGGATTACTAAGGAGACACCAGCGATCCTGAAATAGATATCAAAATCATTTTTAGGCCAGATGTGGTGGCTCACGCCTGTAATCTCAGTACTTTGGGAGGCTGAGGCAGGAGGATTGATTGCTTGAGCCCAGGAGTTCACGACCAGCTTAGACAATATTGTGAGATCTCATCTCTACAAAAAAATCTAAAAAATTAGCCAGGCATGGGGGCACGTGCCTGCAGTCCCAGCTACAAGAGCCACTGAAGTGGGAGGATCACATGAGCCCAGGAAGTCAAGGCTGGGGTGAGCTGTAATCACGCCACTGCACTCCAGCCTGGGTGACAGAGTGAGACCTTGACTCAAAAAAAAAAAAAAATTATGTTTAATTTGTTATACATGTGCTTCCTAATAACAAAATATCAATATAGAGGCAGGTCTGTAATCATTATAATTTCCAGTTCATGATAAGCATGATATTATGAGACATCCTCAATAGCTTGATGTGATATAAAAATATCTGTGATTTCTGTTGGGACAAAATCACGTTTCTGTCAACACTAATTGAAGTGAAAGGGTTAAGAGTTAATACGGGCCAGGGTGGTGGCTCAGGCTTGTAATCCCAGTACTTTGGAAGGATGAAGTGAGGAGATTGCCAGAGCCCACGGGTTTCTAGAACAGCCTTGGCAACTTGGTGAGACCTCATCTCTACAATAAATACAAAAATCAGCCGGGCGTGGTGGAGCATGCCCGTCCCGGCTACTAGGAAGGCTGAGGTGGAAGGATCGCCTGAGACCAGCAGGTCGAGGCTGCGGTGGCCGAGAACGTGCCACTGCACACCTGCCTGGGCGACAGAGTAAGACTCCGACTCAAATGATAATAAGAATAATTTTTACTTATCATTACGATTTAAACGCTCCTGCCAGGAGAAGAAGGCCTTCTTTGCGGAACTCTAATTGCCATGTTGAAGATACCAGTTAGCCCAGTTCTCAACCAGGATCTTACATAAGAGGCTGGAGAACCAGACTCCAGCCTGGGTGAGGATTCCATCCTCCAGGATGAGAGTTTGTCACTAATATGAGGACTTCGACAGCCGGAAAATGACACAGGGCACACAAAAGAGTGCATCTGAGTTGGGGGTAAGGGATCAAGTTTGAAAGACAGCTCTGCCCAGTGTCTCGCCCTCAGGTACAATGGAGATGACCCCAGGGGTGTGCGGGCAGCACGAATTCAAACCCAGCTGGTGCTCACGTAAGGCAGCTTATCCGTTACGAATCCGGAACCCAGGAAATTGCGCTCCTCTAGGGCTCCCCAGAACTCAAAACACTACCAACACCCAGCGAAGCACCCGCCACATCTGCCGACCGGAAATGCCTTCCCCGCGCCGTCCCCGGATCCGGATGCGACTGGGGAAACTGCCCCAGAGGCTTCTGGGGGCTGAAGCCCTTGTAGTGAGTGAGTGGAGGGCTGACTGTTCTCAGCATGGGAATTTTAAGACAAGAGACGAGAAGGCTGTCGCTGCAGCAGCCATTGTCCTGGTACAATAGCCTTTGCAACGGCCCAGGAGCAGCTAGTGGCGTCCGATGGAAGCCGGAGCCTGCAGGATTCTGGAGACTGGTTCTGGGTAGGTCGGCGGCAGGTCCCGCGGACTCCGGATGCCCTTTCCCGTGGGAGAAGGAGGGTCGGGAAAGACCGGGTCTAGGTTAGGACTCGGGGTAGAGTGTGGCGGGTGGGAAGTACGGGCAGCGGGCGGCGCGCTGGCGTAGCTCGGGATGGCGGGTTGGGATGTTTCGTTTTTGGAGGAGGGAGCGAGGCTGGAGGCGCGCGCTGGGGGCGGGATGGGGTGAGACCCGGACAGCCTGGAACCTCGGGGTGGCTGGGCGCCACGCGGCCTTGCCCTCCCCTGCTGTCCCAGAGTAATCAGGAACTCGAATGGTTTTTGGGGGGTTTTTTTGAGTTGGATTCTCTCTCGTTTGTGCAGGCTGGAGTGCAGTGGCATGCTCACGGCCACAGCAGCCTTGAACTGATCCTTCCGCCTCAGCCTTCCAAGTAACAGGCGCGCGCCACTACACCCTTCTAATTTTTTGATTTATTGTAGAGACGCGGTCTCGCCAAATTGCCCAAGTTGGTCTCGAACCCATGGGCTCAGGCAGTCCTCACCTCGGCCTCCCAAGGTGCTGGCATTTGTAGGCGTGAGCCACCCCGCCCGGCCTCGATTGTCTTTTTTGAAGAGGGTGGGTCTGTGCCAAAGTCTTTTAAATATGGAGGGCGGCCCCAGGCATGCTTCCCTGGGGCTTATTTGGCCTGTGGGGGTGGATTTGACTGAGCCCAGCAGACCGACATCCTCTGTGCTGAGCGTGGGGGCGTGGCTAGGGCCGTACATCCCTGGTCACTTTTTGTCTAAGCAGTTTGTTAGGTAGAAATCCCAGCGGGGGCCGTGCTCGGTGGCTCAACCTGTAATCCCGCGCTTTGGGAGGCCGAGGTGAGTGGATTGCCTGAGCCCTCGGGTTCGAGACCCGCCTCGGCAAATTGGCAAGACCTCATCTCTACAACAAATCAATAAATTAGCTGGGCGTGGTAGCGCGCGCCTGTAGTTCCAGCTACTTGGAAGGCTGAGGCGGAAGGATCGCCGGAGCCCAGCAGCTCGAGGCTGCAGTGACCGGGAGTGGCCACTGCACTCTAGTCTGGGTGACAGATTGAGACTCCAACTCAAAAACAAAAAACAAAAAAGAAATCCCAGCGGGGCCTCTAAAATGTTTGGTCAGAACCACCGGCTGGTGTCTGCGATCCAGTGCTAAGAAATAGAAGGAAAAATAAGAAACTAGATTGGAAAATATAGTTTATTTAAAAAGTAGATTAGATGGCCTGGCGCGGTGGCTCATACCTATAATCCCGGCACTTTGGGAGGCCGGAGGTGAAATGATTGCCTGAGCCCACAGGTTCCAGGCAGGCCTGGGCAACTTGGTGAGACCTCATCTCTACAATAAATAATTAAAAATTAGCCACATATTGTGACACATGCCTTTAGTTCCAGCTACTTGGAAGACTGAGGCAGAAGGATCGCCTGAGCCCAGCAGGTTGAGGCTGCGGTGGCCGTGACATGCCACTGTCCTCCAGCCTGGGTGATAGAGTGAGACTCCAACTTGGAAAAAAAAAAGAATAGAGAAGGGGGATTCACATCTGCAAGATGGGGGACTGGGCCAATGCTAGGAAACGTGGTGACCATAGATCAAGGTACCACGAGTCCCGACCAGAGTTTAATGAAGAAATGACAAATGGCTGCTCAAGTTGAATTCCTTTTAAACCTTCTCTCCATTAAGAGATTGAGTGGTGGTCTCTGCACTGTCATCAAGGAGGGGACATGTAAGCACAGGTACCGACCTCAGGTGATTGAAGGCAGGCAAATGGGTGGGTGAGTGGCATGACTGTTGCCATGGTATTGGGGTCCTGTAAGGAAAGTCTGGAGGAGCTGATGAGATTAGCTTGTTATGCAAATACGTGAAATAGAAAAAGCTAATTAGTGCAAACCAAGCTGTGAGAGGTTGTAAAACAATTATCCATAGCTACCTCTGAGAAACCAGTTGTGTCCTTGCCTAGTGATTATCGGGTAAATTAAAGTGAACTGCTACTAAAACCTGACAGAAGCTAAGCAATGTAAAATGGCTGCTCATTGGGTATATTGACTCTATTTTAAGTCCTGTCACAGTGTATATTTGGGTCCTGCATATGGGAGTGGTTGTGGGAACTCAGATCTGATGGTGAATGCAAAGGTTTTTGTTTTTGTTGTTTTGGGAAGGCACTGGAGATGTCCCAAATGGTAATTGGATGAGTGGTGGGGGCGGGTGGAAGGATGTCTCAGGTTTTGGTGTACCTTGGTATGTTGAGGTATGGAGGGGATGCGTAATGGTGATCCTGACCGGATCAAAATATCTTAGGATGTTGTGGGGGTGTCTTGGGTATAGAGTCCCTGGGGTTTTCAGGGTGGAGGGAAAGGGAAGTTTTGTTCTCTAGTAATGGTAGACGACATCACTGTGGCCTGCATCTAAGGCAGTTTTTTGAATAAGAACAGGTGTTCTCTGGGACCTGTTGTCACAGGGTTTTTCGTGTGGCAGGTGGCCACTCTACTTTGTGGCAAAGATCCCAGGTTTGGGGGTCATGTGGGTGGCTAGTTTGGCTGATTCCTTGTCTGTTCTTCCCTGTGATGGGGCCAAACCTCTGACTTGGGGCTGTAAGGTGGTTAAGTATGGTGGAGACTTCTGAGGGCTGTTGGTAAATTATCCAAATCATTTCTGGCACCTGGTGGGGCCCAGGTATTAGGTCTGTGTTTTTTTGTCTTGTAATTTTTTGGTGAGGACAAAATTTAACATACCCAGTAGCATCATACAGTGAACCCCTACGGACCTATCACCAGATTTAACATTTGTTAACTCATGTCCCATCTTGTTTCTTCTACATTCCTTCAACCATATATATGAATGCTGTCTAACACTTGCCTGACCCCAGAGCGGTTGTCACTACTGACCTTACCACTGACCAAACTGGCTAAAGGTGTAGAACTCCACAGGTAGACTTCAGATCTCAGCACATTGTAGCTTTGTCACTTTGAGCAGGATTATTAACTGAGTCACAGGTGATCACAAGACCTACACATGGAGCTTTGGGAGATAAAACTTGTACAAGCGCCTGGAATTGTCTCTGGTATTCAGTAGACTTTAGTACTTATTAACTTATAAGTACTATAATTTATAATAATATTATAAGTAATAGTTAATATGTATTGGAATTTTAACTCAGGCTAACTTGAGCCCACTAGCATTCAAAGAAGAACTATTTAACAGCATGATGTCAGGAAAGGCTCTGTTTGCCAGGAGCTGTCTGCATTATTCTTTTTTGAGAGATCTGATAAGTTTGTTTTTTTGTTTTTTGTTTTCCCATTAAAGGAAGTGGAGGCCCCTCACAATAAGCTTGGGGATTTCTAGACTGGTATCTGGAGGCCAAGAGACAGTCTTGAAGCTCACACTGCCTGTTTTATCCTTGTCCACCTTTCAGATTCCTGCCTGCCAAGAGAAGACTGTTAAGTAAGACAGACTTCTGTGCTCCTGACAAGCTACTTTCAGGTGGGTGCCGCTTACCTTTCATGTTCCTGTATTGTCTTCTTTGCTCCAAACCATGACTGAGTTTGCTTTGTTCATGCTGACACCTTGTGCCATGCTGTGTCCCATTGAAGACTCGAGACCCTGCCTGATTCCCTAGGATACCAGGGCTGTTTAAAGGGTAAGGGCTTCCACAGGGTCTATTACCCTGGACCGGGGCTGTCATTCAGGTAACCACAAGCCTTGCCTCAACAGCATTTCTTCCTGGCTACCGGATTCCCAGGGCTGTCAGCTGCTATGAATTAAAATTGATGGTAACTATCATTTATCGGACTGTTTTTGGTGCCAGGCACTGGGTTTACAGTCACCACAGTATTTTAACTCTTCGACGATTTGAGAGTTAGGAATCCAAATTGCCATTTTATAGAAGTGGCATAGTGGCATGTTTCTGAGGTTAAAGAAACTTTATCTGCTTTTCATGGCTGGATCAGGTGTAATTAGTATTTAGAGCTTCTTTAGTTATCAGTAGTCTACAATTCCTGTGTTACTCAAAACTCCCCACTCCCTTGTTTTTTTGTTTTCGTTGCTAGAGTATTTGGTAGGAAAATTCCTGATATCATATTATCTTACCTATAAATACTATCATGTGCATTCTAGCATAGGACTGTTTTAAAAATATAACCATAATACTATTATACTCAAGAAAATTAGCAGTAATTCCAGATGTCTTAATTCCTAATTTGTTTTTAAATTGCCCATTTGCCCTAAAAAAAATACCATTTTACAGTTCAAACCCTACACACTTACCAGTTCAGATAAGGATTATGACAGGGAAAAGTGTCTGGGATTGAGCAAGTTGAATTCTCTTTCTCCCTTTTCTCTTTACCAATCGCTGATCTCTGTTAATGCCTACATCTGCACTCCTGGTCACAAATGGGAGCTCTGAGTTCTTGTTGGCACCTTCTTCTTTTGGAAATTCCCATCCATTTACTTGGCTGTTGAGTCCTCTCAGTTCTCTCTTGACATGCCCCTTATTCTTTTTTCCTTTCAGGTCATTGCTGTGCTACCCAGATTTTCATCTCTTTTCCACGTTCTAGTTTATTCTCCCCCTTGCCTTTGGAGTTGCTCCTCTGAGGGAAGAATCTTGATCATGTTACTTACCTACTCAAAAGGACCACTTCTTATTGCCTACCTTTTACTCTGTGAAGTGTGGGCTCTGAAGACAGACTGGCTGCCTTTAAAGCTCTCCTTCGCTACACATTAACTTTGTAACCTTGGACACATTATTTTGCTCTCTGTGCCTTCCATTTCTTATCTGTAAAATAAAAGTGCCTATCTCATGGAGTCATGAGGAAGAAATGTGATAATTCCTGCAGGGCAGTTGTAGTGTTTGACACCTACTATGAGCTCACTAAATATGGACTATGATTACAGGTATTGATATGTGGTTAATATCTGAGTAATCCTTCAACCCATTATCTCTACCATTTACGCCCTTTTTTTTTTCTTTTTGAGTTTAGACTCTTACTCTATTGACCAAACAGGAGTATAGTGTAGCACACTCACAGCCACCACAGCCTCCACCTGCTGGGCTCAGGTGATCCTTCTGCCTCAGCCTTCCAAGTAGCTGGAACTACAGTCATACCCTACCACGCTCAGCTGATTTTTTGATTTATTGTAGAGCCGAGGTCTTGCCAAGTTGCCCAGGCTGGTCTCGAACCCCTGGGCTCAGCCAGTCCTCTCTCCTCCACCTCCCAAAGTGCTGGAATTACAGGTGTGAGCCACCATGCTCCGCTCCCTTTGTTCTATAACCGTGTGGACATAGAGTCCATTCTGTGCTGTTCCATTCTTTTGTGGCTTTCTGCTTGGCAGTTGGGTTCTTTATTGATTTAGTCACACATTACCTCATTGCAGGACATGCCTGGATTTTCTCAAACTTATCCCCAGCCTCTTTATCGCCAAAGGACTTTATGCATAAGACGTTGTCCCACTGGACCATGAGGTGGCTCTTTAAGAATCAGGGACCTCTTGCTCAATTTGAGTCACTGAAATGGTCTTGACACACAGCAGGACTAAATAAGTGATTATGAGGACTCGAGCAGCCCTACTTCCCGGTGGAGGAGTCAAAATAGGGAATGGGATAAGAAAGCTGAGGTAGAGTAGTGGGTCGGGACCCTATTTAGCAAGGCCCAGATGCCAGCTTGGTGAGTGTGGACATCATTGAGTGCCCATTAGGGAGTCCCTGAAGGCCTTGAGCTGCTTTGGAGCATGATCTCTGCCTTCAGCCATGACCCCATTTCTCTGCTTTTATTTAGAGCAAAACCTCCAAAAGAACTGTTTATATTTGTTGCCTTTCGTTCCTATTCTTCTATTCTCTTATAAGTTTTTTGTAGCCCACCTTTTAGAAATAGTCATTATCAGGGTCACCAGTGGCTTCCACAGTGGTCATCCAGTCATCAATTTCCTCTCATTTTGCTTGTCATTGTGACAGCAGTTGTAAAGGTTGAACCTTTCCTCTTCCTTGAAACACCTTGTCACTTGTCACTTAACTGCAGGACATTATGTGATCCTCCTTCTTTGTCTCCTTTGCTGGTTCTTCTTCTGACCTGCTAACTGTGGCTCATCAGGGCTTAGTCATTTAGACACTTTCTCCCTCTTCCTTAGACACTTTCTCCCCCTTCCTTCTCTGCCTTGGTGATCTCCTTTGCTCTGAGAATTTTTTTTTTTCTGAGTTGGATTCTCACTGTTGCCCAGGCTGGAGTACAGTGGCACGCTCATGGCCACTGCAACCTCGACCTGCTGGGCTCAGACGATTCTTCTGCCTCAGCCTTCCAAGTAGCTGGAACCACAGCGTGTGCCACCATGGACAGCTAATTTTTTTTGATTATTATTTATTGTAGAGACAAGGTCTTGCCAAGTTGCCCAAGCTGGTCTTGAATCCTTGGGCTCCGGCAGTCCTCTTGCCTCAGCATCCCAAAGTGTTGGGATTATTGGCATAAGCCACTGCGCCCAGCTACGCACTGAGGACTTTTTTTTTTTTTAAATTCAGAGTCTCACTCTGTTGCTAAGGCTGGAGTGCAATGGCATGCTCATGTCCACTGCAGCCTTGACCTGCTTGGCTCAGGCGATCCTTCCCCATAGCCTTCATGTAACTGGAACTACAGGGGCATGCTGCCATGCCCTGCTTATCTTTTGATTTATTGTAGAGATGAGATCTCACCAAGTTGCCCAGGCTGGTCTCGAATCCTTGAGCTCAGACAATCCTCTCACCTTGGCTTCCCAATGCTCTGGAATTACATGCATGAGCTACCACTCCCAGCCCACTCGGAGGATTTTAAATTCATCTGTATGACCTCCAGCTTAGACCTCTTCCTTCAACTCCAGACTCCTATGACCGATTGCTTGATATCTCCACTTGCATCTGAATTAAGCTTCTCAAATCTAGTGTCTTTAGCATAAACCTTTAATCTTCTTTTCAAAATTTACTCTTGTTATAGCCTTCTCACACCAGTTGATGGTAAGCCTCATCCTTCCAACCACTCAGAGCAAAAGTCTTGAAATTGTCTTTTTTTTTGGGTGTTACCTCTCACTGTAACTGGAAAATTAACGGTGTGACCACTACTCACCAACCCACTGTTTCCACTTTGTTCCAAAAAGCCATTTTTTGTCTCTTGGAACTTCAACGGGCTTTATGTCATTTTCTTACCTCTATCCTTATCTCCCTGAGGTCTATTCTAGTCTACTAACCAAAGATATCTTTTCAAATGGAAATCAAATCATATTTTTCCTCTTCTCAAAATCGTCCAATGGCTTCACATTTCACTCCAGATCAAAACCAATGTGCCACAAGGCTGCTCCTGATCTGTGCTGTATTACTGCTGCCCTTGACTGCCATGACCTTTGTCTCATTTATGTTCTCCTGCCACAAAAGACTTGTTATCCTTAGAACATCAGGGCTTACTCCTCCGTCAAGATTTTTAATGGGTTGGTTTTTCCTTACAATTCTGTTGACACAGTTTCCTCATGAGTCATTCCTTCTTGTCTTTCAGATCTTTTCTCAAGTAATCACCTTTAAAAGGCTTTCCTTAAATACTATTTAAAATTCCCACCCCTCTAACCTCTACCATGGGATCTTTCTGTTCCCCTCAGTACTTATCATTATCTGATATAATGTGTCTTTTGGGAGTTATATTTTATTTTTGTTCATCTTTCCCCTACTAAAATGCCAGCTACATGAGGGTAAGTGCTTTTTCAGTTGCATTCGTGGCAGTATCTGCCACACAGAGTAGGCGCCCAGTAATTATTTATGGAATCATTGAGTAGCTCAACCAACAGCATGTAGAGCTACCTGTGGAAGGCATGAATAAGGAATACTGAGATGTGGGAGAGATCTGTGGAGACTTTGGTCAGGAGGCCATCACTGATATCTTAGCTTCCCAGATGGTATAAGTTAATGAGGAATTGGGAGAGCCACTACACTCCAAGTTGGGCAACATGGCAAGACTCCATCTCTAAAATTTTTTTAAAAATTGAGTTACTGACCATTGGAAACAAATAATGCAATAGCTCAAGTGCTCTTGGGAAGTAATATTGACCAAGAATTGAGAGAAAGTTGGAATGTTCATGTTCTTTGTCAGACAGTTAGCTGGAAAAGGCAATTGACTCTAGTTTTCTTTAGTGCTCTTGCTTGTTTTTGGTGTCCATGATGAATGAGTTAGGAAGCATTTTTTTAAATGTTTGGAACCCTAAATATTCATTACAGGAATGACTTCTCAAATCTTCGTTAGAATTGGCCAATAAAATGATGAGAAGCTAATGTCTTTTGGTGTGGCAGATTTTGGGACTGTGTCCTTTATTTTTGTGTTGTAGGCACAGCCGTAGATCCTTACACCTTGAAGTACCAATTAATAGTGGGGACTGGAACTGGAGGAGAATAAATTAATGGGCTTGGGACCTTAGAGCAGTATGTTTCACTACTCATCAAATATCCTGGCATCCCCCCTCATGAGGCTTCTTCTCACAGGTATATGACCAACTCTGTTGAACTAAGGAGTGACACCGAGACTTGATTTACCAATGAGCCATGAACAGACTTGTCTCTTTGGGTAGAATGTTTAAGAGCCTGTGTATTGTTCTCTATCATGTTTCTCCCTTGAGCACTTCTTCTGGACATTTTCCAAATAGCAGGTGCACTATTAACTCTAGTCCTGAAGTTAAGAGGTCTCCGAGCATGATTACAGTTGCCAGATGGATTGACATGGAACCTTAGTGAGAAATAAAGACTTCGGTACATTAAGCCACTGAGATTCTGGAGAAGGTTGTTTGTTATTATAGACTATCTCAGCTCATCCTGACTGATACAGACCCTGTTCTTCACTTCACTCTGAAGGTCCTATCTTCTGGGTGGATTTTAAACCCTATCTGCTTACTTTTTGCCCTGTTATTCAGTCATTTGTTCAGTGGGCATTATTTTAGGCAATGGTAAAGAAATGAGAAATGAGTCTTAACTTTTCTTCTTTGCCAGTTAACTTTAGCTCTGCACCATGACTTTTTACAGTAGGACCACAGTCCCTTTTGGGAACATTCTGTTCTTAGTTCAAGAGAGATGGTGGAGTTATGCAGTATTCAGAAATGGTATTGTCAGCCGGGCATGGTGGGTCATACCTATAGTCCCAGCACTTTGGGAGGCGAAGACAAGAAGATTGTCTGCTGAGCCCAGGGAGTCAAAACCAGCCTGTGCAACTTGGCAAGATCTTGTGTCGAGAAATTAGGCTGGACTCGGTGGCTCAGCCTGTAATTTCAGCACTTTGGGAGGCTGAGGTGATTGCCTGAGCCCACAGGTTCAGGACCAGCCCAGGCAACTTGGTGAGACCTCGTCTCTACAATAAAATAAAAATAGCTGGGCGTGGTATGGTAGCACACATCTGTAGTTCCAGCTACTGGGAAGGCTGAGGCAGAAGGATCGCTGGAGCCCAAAAGGTTGACACTGGAGTGGCCATGAGCGTGCGTGCCACTGCACTCCAACCTGGGCGAAGGAGTAAGACTCTAACTCAAAAAAAAGAAAAAAAATTAGCCAGGTGTGGTGTGTGCCTATAGTTCCAGCTTCTTGGAAGGCTGAGGCAGAAGGACTGCGTGAGCCCAACAGCTCAAGGCTACAGCAGCTGAGAGTGTGACGCTAAGTGACAGATTGAGATTTTGACTCAAAAATAAACAAATAAAAATTTAAAAAGAAATGGCACTGTCGATTTCATTCATTTAGCTTCCAAGGAAATTAACATCGTCGAGCCTAATACCAGCAACAGGGAAGATGAATCTGTTTGTAGAGAAACAAATGATTGGGAAAAAATATGATAAGATCTACCACAAGTCTTAAGAGCCTAGAAATGAAGGCAGAATGTGTGAAGGTAGAAAATACAGGGAACCCCTGTAGACAGAGACTTCATGTTTGTTGATTGAGGGGGATGTGAGAGGACAGGATCCCTATTGAAGAGACATAGGCTTAGGGCCTCCAGGGAAGGCCCCAGCAATGTCAATTTCCTCTCTATCCCACAAGTCCTGGCTGCATGGAAACAAGATAGACTTTTACAGTTGAGTTCGGAAGATACGCAGCAGAAATCCATCTTGAGATGAAATAACATCTACCTGACCCTCTGGCAGAATTTCAAGACTGGGCTGACTTTGGGACCCTGAGGCTGTCTGATCTCTTCACTTGTTCGACAAGACCAGGAAAAGATTTTGCCTTCAAAGAATGGAGAAGATAGGGAGATCATGAAGAAATGGACTCAAAATCATAAGACAAAAGGTGAGAACTATTGGGAGCCTGGAAAGGTAAGAGGGGTGGGCGATTCTCTGGCTTCACCTGAGAATGCTTCAGAGGTCACATCTGAGTAAAGTGATTACTTCCTCCATTCTTGAGCTTAGAGGAGCTACTCTAAGAGCATAATAGGAGGATAGGAGGTCTGGTTTCTCATAATCTCTTTTTTTCCCCTTAGATTTGCCTTCCAACTATACTGACTGGTCCCAAGAAAAGGAAGGAAAGCCCCAAATGCTGGTGAGTAAGTTTACTTTTTTTTGGGGGGAGGGGAGTCTGACTCTGACTCCCACACTCACAGCCACTGCAGCCTCAACCTGCTGGGTTAGGGCGATCCTTCCACCTCAACCTTCCCTTGTAGCTGGAACCACAGGTGCGTACCACCACACCTGGCTAATTTTTTGATTTATCATAGAGATGAGGTCTCGCCAAGTTGCCCAGGCTGGTCTGGAACCCCTGGCTCAGGCAATCCTCTTACCTCCTCCTCCCCGAGTACTGGGATTATAGGCATGAGCCCTCACGCCCGTTGGTTACCTTTTTTTATATCTGAACTGATGACTCACTTCCTGGAGAACAAACGTGTCTTCTGTTTGTAGGGAATGGAGAAGGTGGTCAGCATTTAGGTAGTGGAAGGAAGGATTAGGGCTTTATTGAAGAGAGGTTGTTAAAATATGTAAGTAAAACAGGGGTTTTACAGATCCCATTTAGTAACCTGAACTTTTAAAAAATGCTCATGCCACATTGGGTCCTGCTTACTAGTGAGAATATGTGGTATTCCATTTTTTGTTTCAGTGATAGTTCACTTAAAAGTATGGTCTCCACCTATATCCATGTTGCTGCAGATATGGTCACCTTCTTTATGGCTATGTAGTATTCTATAGTGTATATATGGCACATTTTCTTTACCCAGTCCCCTCTCAACGGGCATCTGTTTGGTTCCATGTTTTTCTATTGTGAATAGTGCTGGAATGAGCATACATATGCAGGTGTCTTTTTGGTAAAGCAATTTATGTTCCTCTGGGTATGCTCCTAGAAGTGGGATTACTGGATTTTGTAGTAGTTCAGTTTTACTAGGGGGAGAGAGGGCTCGCTAGAAGCCAACACCTCACCCTCTGGCAGTTTACTTACTTAGCATATCTTCACCTGTATCTCACAACTTAAAAATATTTTCTAAAAAAGAGAAGACAGGAAAACAATGCCTATGTTGGACTTTATCTGTTCACCCCCATTTTTTTCTGTAGTCAATGTTTTCTTCTATTTTTTCCTCTAACTATTCCCCACTCCCTACTGCCCAGCACAAGTCCCAAGTGCATGATGCTTTTTCCATCTATGTTCCATCTCTGAATGCCTTCATTAGGAATTATCAAAGTCACTGTCCTGAACACTGCTTGAGGATTTCAAATTGCTTCACAAATTATTTCTCTAGTGTTCAAGGACCTGGAATGTGTCGTGTACATCCTTTATGCTCCTCACAAGCTTAAACACTAAACTTCAACATAGTAATGCTCAATTCTCATGTGGAGAATTGTGTACTCTGAAAATAATTATTACTATTATTTTGTTTTGTTTTGTTTTGTTTTTTGAGTCAGTCTCACTATCACCCAGGCTAGAGTGCAATGACTGTGATCCTTCCCTCTCTGCCTTACAAGTAGCTGGAACCACAGGCTTATGCCACCACACTTACCTAATTTTTATTTATTGAAGAGATGAAGCCTCTCCAGTTTGCCTAGGCTAGTCTCAAAACCCTGGGCTCAGGCAGCTCTCATCTTTACCTCTCATGTGCTGGGATTACAGGTGTGATGAATGATGTTCACTTCTTGTGTATCCAGACTCTCCGGGCTACCAGCTGTGCTCCTCAAACAGGGAAAATTGAGGGTGGCTTACTGTACACTAATTGACTGCTTGTTTATAGGTACCAGTTGCATTCAGGGATGTGGCTGTGATCTTCACGGAAGCAGAATGGATGAGTCTGAGCTTAGAGCAAAGGAATCTATACAAAGAAGTGATGCTGGAGAATTACAGGAATCTGCTCTCATTGGGTAAGGCTGTACTCTTTCCTTCATTAATTCAGTGGAGATTCCTTGATCACAGACTCTGTACTAGAAGATGTTCTAGACACTTAAAATGTATTAGTAAATAAAATAGTAATCCATTGGGCTTGCTTTCTAGTGGAAAGAACTGACACCAAACAAAAAGCTTCATTTATATAATATTAAAGTACAGTATGTTATAGAGTGATAACTGCTATATAGTAAAAAAAAAAAATAGTAAAACAGGATCAAGGGTTATTGGGTGTGACAGAATGACTGGCTAAATTTTACAGTTGGGCATTTGAAATCAATGAGGAAGGCCAGACACTAGTGGCTCAAGCCTATAATCTCAGCACTTTTGGAAGCCAAGGTGAGAGGATTGCCTGAGCCTACAGGCTCTAGACCAGCCCAGGCAACTTGGTGAGACCTCATCTCTACAATAAATCAAGAAAAATTAGCCAGGTATGGTGGTGCACACCTGTTTTCCTAGCTACTTAGAAGGCTGAGGTGGAAGGATTGCCTGAGCCCAATAGGGCGAGGCTGCAGTGGCCGTGAGTGTGCCACTGCCCTCCAGCCTGGGCAACAGTATGAGACTTTGATTCAAAAAAAAAAGAGGAAGAAACATATGATCAAAGACATAATGTGGTGAGAAAGTTAGAACTCTAGGTATCTAGAGTAAAAGCATTTCAGGTGGAGGGAATCATTGATGTGAAGACCTTAAGGAAGGGATGTGCTTGCCCAGTATAAGGATTTGCAAGGGGTTAGTGAGGCTGGGTCACATTATACAAGAAGAGTAGTGAGAGATAACTCCCCCAACAGAAGTTAAAAGGAAGCATCAAACTTTATGTGGTTTTTGGGTTTTATAAACCCTATTTTTTTTTAGCCGAACAGTAAATCTTTAAAGTGTTATGGGTGATATAGTGTCTGTAAAAACTCTTAGCTTTGTCTTTGTAGTGCAAAAGCAATATAAACAATATGGGAATGGATGAGCATGACTGTGTTTCGATAAAGCTTCATGTATGGACACTGAAATTTGAATTTAATTAAATGTTCATGTATCATGAATTATTACTATTCTTTGGATTTTTTTCTACCCATAAAAATGCAAAAACTATTTTTATCCCGTAGGCTATACAAAAACAGTCGGCAGACTGGATTTAACCTGTGGGCTCAGGTATTTCATTTGTTCTGGACCCAGGCTGTCCAGTTAGTAGACATATAATTTGAACCACATAGAGAATTTTAAGTTTCTTAGTAAGTTCATTAAAAAAGTATAACTAAGCTGGGCGTGGTGGCTCAAGCCTGAAATCCCAGCACTTTGGGAGGCCAAAGTGAGAGGACTGTCTGAACTCAGGAGTTTGAGACCAACCTGGGCAACTTGTCTCTATAATAAATCAAAAAACTACGGTTTTTTCACTCATTTTTATGTACTAACTCTTCAAAATATGGTATGCATATTACACTTAGAGTTCATCTTAGTTCAGACTAGCCACATTTCAAGTGCTCAATGAAGACATATGGCTGGTGTCTACTATACTGGAATAGTACTGTTCTAAATATTTCCATATTTCTAGATTAAGCATGTAGTGATGAATCCCATTTTGAAAACACAAAGCAGTTTCAGGCAGGAGTTTTTTCAGTGGCATGGCTATTGCCTGATATGAATTAATCAGGTTTTTTTTTCATTTTTACCTTTTTTGATATGTTTTTATCTGATTCCTTCTGGTTTGAACTAGCCCCTTCTGATTTACTGTATCTAAATCAGTGTACATTCATTCATTTGATTTTGGTTCTGTGTGTGTGTTTTTTATCTTTTTTTTTTTTTTTTTTTTTTGAGTTGGAGTCTTATTCCGGTGCCCAGGCTGGAGTGCAGTGGCACAGGGCCACCCCAGTGTCAACGTGCTGGGCTCCAATGATCCTTCTGCCTTAGCCTTCCAAGTAGATGGAACTACAGACACATGCTACCATGCCTGGCTTATTTTTTATTTTTTCATTGTAGAGATGAGGTCTTGCCAAGTTGCCCGGGCTGGTCTTGAACCCGTGGGCTCAGGCAATCGACTAGCCTTGGCTTCCCAAAGTGCTGGGATTATAGACTAAGCCACCGAGCCCGGCCTATCTTTTTTTAAACAAAGATTTACTATTATTTGTTAATGGTTCAGTGTTTTCATTTATTCTTAGCTAGTCGGTCTAATTAGATGTTGTTTTACTGTTATTTTTCTCTCTCCCACTGTTAATACATTTAACTGGTGTAGAGGAAAATATTAAAATGTTCCTGTTCAAATTAATCTTTTCATTGAAAGCATGGGTCCCAATTGCATTCCTAAAGTTGTTTCCTTTGTTTTGCCTGACACCATAATGTTCTGTGGTTCTCCAGCCTCTTACGTTTCTCTTTTGGGCTTTTTTCTTCTTTGGATTATAGGGGTCCATTGGAATTAGTTTCACATACTCCTTCTGTGTCTGTATTCACACCCTTTACCAATTTGTGAATTGTAATGAACCCATTTTCTATAACTATCTCACCTGTACTTTATCTGCATATTTCTACTTGACTGCAAAACATCATGTTTACTCTCAAAGTTAGAAAAAAAGAGAGTATACTATTTTTCCTCCAAAATTAGTCATTTTCCTTTTTCTTCACATATTCATTGATATTGTGTCTCTTCTTAAAGGGCACTGTCAGAAATAAATGGTTGAGTTATCCTGGAAATAATCTTGAATAATCTTCACATGGAAGATATTTTAGTAAACCTAGACAATACTGTGACACTAAAGATTAACTCCAGTACTTTAGTGGCTTACAGTGGTAAATGTTCATTTCTCACTTATATTACCTTTTGCCTGACATTTAGGTGTGGCTCAACTCTATTGATTCTGGGATCCAAGCAAAAGGAATAGTCTCTATCTGGGTCACGGAGTTTTTAAGGTATAAGGAAAAAGGGCAATGATAGAACCACATTGTTGATCTTAAAACTTGTTTGAAAGTACACTAACTTCCCATTAACCTTCGTTGGCCAAAGCAAATCTCACAGCCAAGTCTGATATTGTGGCAGGAAGGATAAATCTCTCACATCGGGAGGTAGAGGTGAGAGGATTGCCTGAGTCCAGGGGTTTGATACCAGCCTGGGCAACTTGGCGAGACCTCATCTCTACAATAAATCCAAAATTATCCAGGCATGGTGGTGTGTGCCTATAGTTCCAGCTACTTGAAAGGCTGAGGTGGAAGGATTGCCTGAGCCTAGCGAGTCAAGGCTGCAATGTCTGTGAATATGCCACTGTACTCCATCTTGGCCCAAAGAGTGAGACCCTGACTCAAAAAAAAAAAAAAAAAAGATAAGGTAAACGAATAAGTTGTTGATGGTGTGGACAACCAACTCTCTCAACTATATAGTTGTCCTTTAGAAATAAGTACTGAATTATCATGTGGCAAAGAGGTGTGATATGAACAAAGTTTCTCAGTGTGGCCCCTGTGAATTTTTATCTTTAGTAAAATGATACTTTACTAGTAAGACGGAGGGATTAGAATTATGAGTATACATGAAGTTCCTTTAGCAGGGTGTTAACTGTAATGAGTTTGTGATTCCTGTTTTTAGCAGAGCAGACACAAATGGAATTTCTTCTCCTAATGAAATAGTGATGTAGGGTGTAGCGGACTGGTCTGAATGATCTGGAATACTTCTGAGGTAGGCCAAAGGGACAGTAGCAAGTCATAGAAAAAACAAGACTGAAAGTTCAGGTCACACAATTCTAAAATTACCACAAAGTCTTTAAAAAAAAAAGTTTTAATATTTATTTTTATGGTTCTTTTTTAAGTTTTTCAGATAAGAGTCTCACTCTGTCATTCAGGCTAGAGTGCAGAGGCATGATAATGGCTCACCACAGCCTTTAAATCCTGGGCACAGGTGATCCTCCTGCCTCAGCCTCCCGAGTAGCTGGGACTACACTGGTTCACCATCACACCCAGCTAATTTTTCTTATATCTATATACATATTTTTGTGGAGACAGGTTCTCATTTTGTTGCCCAGGCTGGTCTTGAACTCCCGGTTTCAAATAGTCCTCTCACCTTAGTCTCTCAAAATGCTTATATTATTGGTGTGAGCCATTGCGCCCAGCTTTAGAATTAGCACAAAGTCTCATAGGATATGACTGGCCAGAAGTAGAAACAAGTTGTGAGTCATGATTGCTTTGAGAACCCAAGTAAACAAAACATACTTCTAGTGTATTCTGTGAGAGCAACCAGAGCCTGTCAGCTGCTGAGAGACTGGCCTATGGCAAGGCTGCCAGACAAGCAGTTCCGGGTACACAGGGCTCATCCCAAGCACTATTATGTTCCTACGGCAGTTCGGTGGTTCCAGCACTGTTAAGTGCCTTGTCAAAGCAACCAAAGGGAAAACATGTCATCTAAAACTACATCAAAGATCACAAAGGGTCAAAAGATCACATGGCACAATTCATTTACTTCACAGGCAAGGAGATATACTCTGTATAGTTTAGTAAAGGGGAAAACATGAAAGGTTTTTGACTATTAGGGTGTAGATTTATGTGATGTTTATGGTAATGAAGGGTTGAAAGTGAGCACTCCTGATAAGATAGAATGAATTTTTAGGGAGAAACACAGTTGATTATAAAGATTCCACCATTCATTAGTCAGGCAGGAGCTTTCCATGAGGTGTCACAGGGTTTTGGAGCCAAGTACATGGTCATTTATCAGTATCAACTGGCTAGATCAACTGGTGGCTCATACCTGTAATCCCAGCCTTTTGGGAGGCAGAGGTGAGAGGATTGCTTCATACAGGGGTGCGAGACCAGCCTATGCAACTTGGCGAGGCTTCATCTGTACAATAAATCAAAAAATTAGCCAGATGTGGTGGTGCATACCTGTATTTCCCTCTACTTGGAAGGCTGAAGCAGAAGGATTGCCTGAGCCCATCAGGCCAAGGCTAAAATAGGTCTGAGTGTGCCACTGAACTCCAATCTGGGTTACAAAGTGAGACTCTGACTTAAAAAGATAATATAACATCTAGTTTTGATATTTTGTTGGCAGGTGCTGCTGTTTATGAAAACATTTTCTGTTATATTGAATTTTTAAAAATTGAAAGAAGGGCAGGTTGGGATTGGTTTGTGCCAGAATCCTAAAATAATGAACCATATCTTTCCTATCCACTGCTCAATCCATAATACTTAGAAGAGAACCTGGTACTTAGAAACTGTCTACTAAGTCTGGCCATCCTGAAATTCAGATTTATTTCAAATCTAACAGTCTCTTGACCAGTATTTCACATATTTTCTCCTATGTTTGAAAGCCTTCCAGGCTGAGGGACATTTTATGTCTATCAAGTCTATTTCGTACAAAGACAAGTGATGGGGATTTCCACATGTGTCATAGAGACCATTAACTACAAGCCAAACAAAGACTTGTGGACCGTTTATATCCATGTAAGTGTCTATGGCTTAGATGATTTTAAATGAAGAAAAAGGTTAACAATGATTGAAGCTGTTTACAGAACAGAATGCTCAGTAGGTTTCTGGTCTGATATATAGAATATGTTTTTGGTGTGGATTTTCTAGATTGCAATAGGAAGTGTGATAAAATAAGCTAAATCAGTTAATGAAATCAAATTGTTAGCAAAGCAAGAATATTAACCAGCTTATTTTATTTTGTTTAAAATTTTTATCTTAGTTACCTGCCTGACCTAAGAATTAATGCCTACATGCGATTACAGTAACGCTTCTATGACTACAGACCCCCAGTTTTGTCTTCTTTGGGCAGGTTATGCTGACCGTTGCCTGTTGACCATTATAGAACTTTTTTACCATAGCTTTTATATAATTGTATGCTTTGTTAACTGAAATCAAATGTTATATTTTGACATTTTTATAGTTTGTTTTTATATTTTGTTAGTGATCTAACCAAGATAATTTTATTATATAATGATTTTTTTTTCATGTTTTTGTGTAACTAACTTAAACTGTATCTTAATGACAGAACTCTAGGGACTTTTTGAGCACTGGCTATACCTAGGACATAAAATTAATCAAAGCTCCCTAACAATCAAAAGTTCCCATTTTAGTTGCCAAGTTGTTAGTTAATAGTTTCTATGGTCACTAAGTTGCTATGTAGCCAATGCTGCAAATTTTACCTATAAAAGCTTGTCACAAACTGCACCAATTTGCCAAGAGTTTTTCTGGCATTTGCCTACTCTTGACCCACGCGTTTAATAAATCCATAATTAGACTCAACTTGCTGGCGTAACTTCTTCTCGCTTACTTGGTCATAACATTTGGAGGCCCCAGCGAGAAGTTGCCAACTTCAGAAAACAAGCCTCGCTCCAGCTCTCCCCCAGTCCAATGGGGAGTTATCGGGGAGGCGCCCCCTGAGTTATTCAGGGCCCCATAACCTCTCATCTGGCTCGGAGGGGGATGAAACGACTGCTGACTCCTCTCATCTAAAACAAACCTGAGTCCATCTATATTCTCCCAGGAGGTAAGAATTTGTTCTGTTTACCAGTAAAAATCTGTTCTGTTTTGCTTGTGGCCACAATTCTGTTTAAGGGAGTCATGGCCTGACAAGGCCGCCCTTTGGACACTATTCATTTGGCCAAGACGTTGGCTGAATAGAGTCCTCTGGTTTTCTGCCCTGAGGCTGTGCCAGGAATCTGTGATTTTTCTGCCCTGAGGCTATGCCAGGGATCTGTAACTTTTCTCACTTGGTCCTGACACGCCTTGTTTGTCATTTAATATGGGGGCACAGGCTTCTTGACCCTCCAGTCCCCTGAACTGTATAATAAAACACTTTTCTCCTTTAAACAACAGAGAGAAAAAAAAAAAAAGCCTCAGGAACCACACTTAGCTCACCCCCTTCTGAATTGCCTGCAGGCCAGGTAAATTAATTTCACTGACAGCAGTTTGTGATCAGCTATAATGCTTTTCACTACCAGGTTACTTACAGACTTCAAAATCTCCTTTTAGGCCCAAGGATTATTAATCCAACACAGGATAAATAACAAAATAACCTGGGTTTATCAATTATTATAAAAGTATAACTTGCTAATGTTTACCTATTTTAAGTTCTCAATTTGGGCTACAACCTAATTACACGTCTCTAATGTTTTCAGTTTTTCTTCAGACTTTGTCAAGGTGACTGTATTTCCTTGTTAAAGCACAGTTATAAATGTTTTGCAGGAAAATGTTTCAACTTACATTGATAAATGAAAAGTTTTGGCTAGTCATGCATGTAGTTTGCGGGACTACTTTCACTTTCCAGTATTGTTCCTATTTTTCCAGTATTGTTCTGTTTTTTTATCATTGCTTGCTTAATAATTTTGTCTATGCTTTCGCTTAATATTTTATTAAATCCAAATAATACCCAGTGAAAGTCCCACTGTTTCCTATTCATGCCCTTAAAAATAGATTATCATAAAAATATTTCCAAGAGCAGAAATAAAAAAACAAACCGAGAGCCAAAAGCCATGTTTTATCTTGTTCTTAAACCCTACATGGAAGACCAGTATTGCCACCTTCCCTCTGGGAAGTTCCGCAGGGGGCAAATCAATATAAACGACCCTTCCTGGTGTATATTCTTTTCTTAATCTCAGAAAAACCACAGGTTTTAATTTCTTTACTAGAATCAATCATGTGCATTCATCGCTTCACCTGGAATGATGGCCAGCGGCTCCTTTTAACCCTATTCACTTGTACTCAGAATAAAGGTAAAAAAATGTTAAATAAGGTTTTTCCCTCCTCTTACTTAAACTGAGACCCTAACACTTTGATAGGGTCCAAGATATTAAAATTTTTTCACCGGACTCTATTAGCAGGTTTAAAGGGGGCAGCCCAAAAACCCATTAATTTATGTAAAACTACTGAGGTTCTCCTGGGACCCGAGGAGTCCCCAGGGGCATTCTTTAAACATCTCCAAGAGTTGTTTTTAACCTACACCCCTTTTTACTCTTTGACTCCCAAGAATGCTCAGGCCATCAATTTGGCTTTTGTGGCACAAGCGGCTACCAATACTCAAAAAAAATTACAGAAATTAAAAGTCTTTGCAGGAATAAACATTTCTCAGCTGCTTGAAATAGCTCAAAAAATTTATGATAACCGAGATGCTGAAAAACAGAAACAAGCAGTACAGGCGGCTGACAAAGCTGCAAAAAGACAGGCCAAAATTCTAGTGACTGCCCTCAGGGCCCCGGAAACTGGTTCCAAGCCTCCATGCCAAGACTGATAACCAAAAAAGCCAAAAGGGTAAAAAACCTGAATGCATTAAGTTAGCAAAAAACCAGTGTGCTTAATGCAAGGAGCTTGGACACTATCAAAGATTGTCCCTGTCGCCCTCCACAAAAAAAACAAGATCCGGACCCTAAGCCCATTCTGGTCCTGCCCTTGGCCGGAGGGGCAAAAAGTGATTCAGACTGAAGGCACCAAGGCTCTTTCTCCTTGGGTCTTCAAGAGCCTATGATAACCACAGCTAATGGGGGCCACCCAGTTAAACTCTTAGTGGACACTGGGGCGAAACTTTCAGTCCTAAAGTCACCATTAAAACCTATGTCTAAAAATCAACTTGTAATACAAGGAACAACAGGAATGATTACCAACTGCAAATTCACTCCTAATCGGACTATTGACTTGGGACAAAAGTGAGTAATGCACTCATTTTTAGTAGCTCCTGAGTGTCCATTCCCTCTCATGGGTAAAAATCTGTTTTGGCAGTTAAGAGCAACCATTGTGTTTTCACCTGACAAAACTGAAATGTTTATTCCTACTGCATATCAAATGCTCTTAACTGTTCCTCTTTCTGAAGAATATCTTTTAACCTCTCCAAAGTCTACTACTAAAAATATTCCATGAAGCTCACTTCTACAGTTACAGCAGAAGTTTCCTTCTGTCTGGGCAAAAACCAACCCTCTAGGATTGGGGAAGCATCACCCTCCAATGATGGTAAGTTTACTGGCATCAGCTACTCCTGTCCAAGTCCGCCAATACCGTATGAGTTTGCAGACCCGGAAAAAAATTGCTCCTCATATAAAAAAACTCTTAACTGCCAACATTCTGACTCCATGCAAGTCAGCATGGAACACACCTTTCTTGCCAGTTCAGAAACCAGGAACTTCTGACTACCATTCAGTTCAACATTTAAAAAAATCAACAAGCAGGTAAAAACTATTCATCCAACTGTTCCTAACCAGTACACTTTACTTAGTCTACTTCCCCCTCAACATCAGGTATATACTGTGCTAGACTTAAAAAAAATAAAATGTGAAGGAAGCAAATTGTGTTGCTAATGACAGGCGTAGCTGTGGGACACTCTTTGTCCTAAGATAAGGCAGAATAACCCAGCAGCATTGATGGCTTCTCTAACTGAAAACTTTCTGTCTTCAGCAGAACCAAAGTCAGGAGTCTACCCTTGTTCTTCCTGCCTACTGGTCTCCTCTTGTCAGCAATTCCTCAGCCAACATGTGCTTCAGATCTTCCAGGGCTTATGTACAGAAAATCACTCCCATCTGGGGAATTCCAGCTCTGGGCATCAGAAACCACAGGAGCATCAATATTCTGATCAGAGCTGCTGGAGTGAAAATGCAGAAGACCGAGAGAGAGAAGGTGGCTCCAAATCCTGGTATGCAAGGTCAGAGGAGAGAGAGACGTCAAGGGCATTCCTCAGCCCACACCAAGGACAGCCAGCAAGTCCTAGAGAAGGCAACATGGTGGTAGAAATAGAGCTCCACTCTGCCCAAAAGGTAAACCCTGTGCAATCAGACAAAGGAATGAAGGAATTAGAAATCTCAAGATTTGGAGCAATCAACTGTAGAGAATGTGAGCCAGACTCTAGCCCGGAATCAAACTTCATCAGAAACTCAAGGCCCTTCCTAGGGGAGAAGCCTTATGTTTGCAATGATTGTGGGCGAGGCTTTAACCAAAAGTACATGCTCAACAAACACCAGAGAACACATTCAGAAGAGAAGCCTTACTTGTGCAACGAGTGTGGGAAAAGCTTTAGAAATAAGTTCATTCTTAGTAGACATCAGAGAACACACTCAGGGGAAAAGCCTTATGTCTGCAGGGAGTGTGGACGAGGCTTTAGCCGGAAGTCAAATCTCATCAGACATCAGAGATTACATTCAGGGGAGAAGCCTTTTTTCTGCAGGGACTGTGGGCGAGGCTTTATCCAGAAGTCAAATCTCATCAAACACCAGAGATTACACTCAGGGGAGAAGCCTTTTTTCTGCAGTGACTGTGGGCGAGGCTTCAGGGTGAAATCAGAGGTACTTATCCACCAGAGGACACACTCAGGGGAGAAGCCTTATGTCTGTAGAGAATGTGGGCGACCCTTTAGCCATATATCAAATCTCATCAAACACCGGAGGTTACACTCAGGGGTGAAGCCTTTTGTTTGCAGTGACTGTGGGCGAGGCTTTACGGTGAAATCAGAAGTACTTATCCACCAGAGGACACACTCAAGGGAGAAGCCTTATGTCTGCAGGGAGTGTGGGCGAGGCTTTAGCTGGAAGTCAAGTTTCAAGAGACATCAGAGAACGCATTCAGACGAGAAGCCCTATGTCTGCAGGGAATGTGGACGAGGCTTTATCCAGAAATCAAATCTCCTCAAACACCAGACTGTACACTCAAGAAAGAAGCTTTTTGTTTGCAGAGTCTGTGGGCAAGGCTTTAGGGTAAAAACAGAAGTACTTATCCACCAGAGGACACACTCAGGGGAGAAGCCTTATGTCTGCAGGGACTGTGGGCGAGGCTTTAGCCAGAAGTCAAATCTCTTCAGACACCAGAGGTTACACTCGGGGGAGAAGCCTTTTGTTTGCAGGGACTGTGGGCAAGGCTTTAGCCAGAAGTCAAATCTCATCAGACACCAGAGGTTGCACTCAAGGGAGAAGCCGTTTATCTGCAGTGACTGGTCCAGACTTTAGGGCAAAATCAGAAGTACTTATCCATCAGAGGGCACATTCAGGGGACAAGACTTATATCTGCAGAGACTGTTGGTGAGGTTTAACCAAAAGTCAATTGTTTCTTTTCTTTTTTTGTTTTGAGTCAGAGTCTCACTCTGTTACCCAGTATAGGGCATTGGCACGCTTGTGGCCACCACAGCCTCGACGTGCTGGGTTCAGGCGATCCTTCTGCCTCAGCCTTCCGAGTAACTGGAACTATAGGTGTGCACTACCATGCCTTGCTAAGTTTTTAAAATTCATTTATTGTAGAGATGAGGTCTTGCCATGTTGCCCAGCCTCATCTCAAGCCCAGGGGCTCAAGCAATCCTCTTGCCTCTGCCTCTCAAGGTGCTGGGATTACAGGCACAAGCCATTGTGCCTGGGTAATTCTCGTCATACACTCAGAAGAAAAGCCTTATGCTTGCAGGAAGTGTAAGTGAGGATTTAGTCAGAAGGCACATCTCATCAGACACCAGAGGACCCACTGAGATGAGAAGACTTATTAGCAGAGAGTATCAGTTAGGGTTTCGTGACAAGCTGACCCTCATCATACATGAATTGAACACACTCAGACAAGTTTAGGGAATGTGGCGAGGCTTTAACTGGAAATCACTCCTTGTCCACCAGAAGACAATTGGGAGAAGCATGTGTGCAGGGACTGTGGGTGAGTCTTTAGACAGAAGTCAGATCTCATCAAACGCCAGAGGACACACTGAGGGTGAGGCAGCACAGCTAAGTACACGGTGACAGAAATCCAGACACATACTTGGGATATGAGGTGGCTGGCTACACAAACCAAGGACGGTAGGGAGTTCCCAGAGACACAGGCATAGTGCTGTAAGAGAAAACTTAATTAAGCAACAACCTTTCTGGTTATCTCAAACATTCCTTGAGATACAGGCAAAAGAATTGAAAACTGATCAAAACTTAGTTTAGAAACAGATTGCTTACCCATTATTTTGGGCTGGGTGTGGTGGCTCATGCCTGTAATCCCAGCACTTTGGGAGGTGGAGGCAAGAGGATTGCCTGAGCCCAAGCATTTGAGACCAGCCTGGGTAACTTGACAAGACTTAATCTCAACTATAAATCAAAAAATCAGTCCAGTGGAGTGGTGCGTGTCTGTGGTTCCAGCTACTTGGAAAACTGAGGCGGAAGAATCACTTGAGCCCAGCAGTTTGAGGCTGCAGTGGCCAGGAGCATGCCACTGCATTCCAGCCTGGGTGACAGAGTGAGACTTCGACTCAAAAAAAGGAAAAACATTTTGGAAATATATGAAGCACTCTGTTAACAGAAGAGGGTGTGCCTCTTCCCTTAAGGCTACCCATGTTCTCTCTTGAATTTGTTTTTTCTTTTCTCTCTAATAAACTGTACTTGAAACCTGTCTGAGTCTCACTCTGCACTGCCTTTCTGCAGCAAGCCAGGAACTGAAGGGACAACTATATCCCATGCCACCCAGCATCATCTCTGACACTCATTTGCAGCACTTGTGAGGCTTATGACACAACGTTGTCACTCTGGATTTCCTGGGCTCTGCTTATTGCCTTTCACTCTTTTCAGAGCCATCTACAGACTTTCCTTCCTGTTACTGTGTTGCTCCCTCCCTCCAGGTTACTGGTCCTCCTGACTGGAGGCTAGTGGAGATGGGAAGGGGCCAGATCCCTGCACCTTGTGGAGTTGAGACACAGGCGATCCTTGCTGATAGAAGCCACTGGTGGTAGAAGAAACTAGTTTCATTCTGAGTAGCTACTACAACCCATTTCATACCTTGTGCCTTCTTTACACAATGGGGAGGCAAGTTTTCTTTGGTGTTTGAGGAGTCAAATAATTCTTTTCAGATTTTAGCCTCCTGGTTATTTTGGGTTTTAAAAATGCAGTTGAGACCAAGCTTGGTGACTCATACCTGTAATCCCAGCATTTTAGGAGGTCGAGGTCAGAGTATTGCTTAAGCCCAGGAATTCAAGACCAACCTAGGCAACATAGAGCTCATCTCTAAAAAAAGAAGAAAAAAAAAGATGGAGTTTAGGGAGGTTTTTTGGGTAAGGAGGTCTGGTCACCTTAGTGTACCTGTCTAATTATTGCCAGACAGATAAAGCCTTAAATTAGACACTGGGTGATATTTGTGTTGTAGGGTAAGGCATGGAAACTGGCTGTTCCTACCTGATTGCCCACTCCTTATGACTCCAGAAGCCCTGTGCCAACCTCTCGTTTGCGTCTGCTGGCACCTTCTAAAGTGTATTCAGTGATCTACAGTGATAGAGATGGATAGAAGCCTACCATTTAACTACGTTCAGTTATCTTAGATTTCTTAAATATCTTTAACACAAAGATGCCCTATTCTTTTTATTTTTGAGTTGGAGTCCCACTCTGTCGCCCAGGCTGGAGTGCTGGTGACACACTCACAGCCACCACAGCCTTGACCTGCTGGGCTCAGGTGATCCTTCTGCCTCAGTCTTCCAGGTACCTAGAACTACAGGCACATGCCACCACGCCTGGCTAATTTTTTGATTTATTACAGACGAGGTCTTGCCAAGTTGCTCAGGCTGGTCTCAAACCCCTGGGCTCAGGCCATCCTGCTGACTCTATCTCCCAAAGTGCCAGGATTACAGGCATGAGCGACCGCGCCCAGCAGTGACCCATTCTTTCAGTGTATTCATTCCAAAGTTTATGCATTAGGCAATTTCAAATGGCCCTTTTGGAAAGCTTCTGATTAAATGTAATTTGTGCAAAAAATTATTCATAGGTAAAAAGCAGAAAGGTACAACCAAGAGTTTTTTATTTTTAGTTCATGGCCAAAGTCCCAGGGATTCATGGAAAGCCCTTGACAAGCAGTCAAGAGGGCTCAAAGACGCTTGGATGCCCAGGGACCATCAGAAACCCAGGGACGCCTGGCATAACTTATGGTCTTTATCTTGTTTAAAATTTTCCTTTGATGAACACAAACAGTTGTGGGTTCCAAATCTATGCAAGAATTCAAAGGCAAAATTCTGCATTTGTCCTTGAGAAACAGAAACTTGGGTAATAATCTATACCCTCAAACTATGCGTTACTTAATGTTTTTTAATTGGGAGAAATTAAAATGGACAGTTTAAACAGAAGAGGTTAATGTTTTGTAATGAGACCTGGCCTTGATATCGACGGACATAGAGGACTGCAGGAATGCCAGAGGAGTTGCAGGAACCTGGAGGGGGTCCATTGCAGCCCCAGGAACTTGGTGGCTCTCCTTGGGTGGTCCTGATAGGTTTCTGCTAAGCCTATCTCCTCCTGCCTTAGGTCAATAGTGCCAGGTTTATACTCAACTGATTTTCACTTCCTAGGAAATTGAAATAAAAAAATTTGATTCTGAAGTACATTCTGAAAGGTGCTCTCCTTTGGCTTTTTCTTTAAAAAAAAAAAAAAATCTTTAAAAGAGAATGAAGGTGGAAAAATGGCCCTCTTTGAGCAACCCAGTTTGTTTTATATTTGAGAGAAGTTGAAAGGCATGCCAGGTTTTCTGCAACTATAGCTGGTTAGATATTAAGGCATATTTTTGTGCACTTTTAAAACTGACGGGCAAATTACAGGAAGAAAATTCATAACTGGTTAACCTTTAAATACAGGGTAAATAAAGTCTTCTATTTGTTGAGTTGGAATCTCACTGTGTTACCCAGGCTGGAGTGCAATGGCATGCTTACTACTACTGCAACCTCAATCTCCTGTGAGCAGACAATCCTTCCTCCTCAGCCTTCCAAGTAGTTGAAACCACAGATGCACGCCACCACAGCCAGCTGATTTTTTGACTTACTGTAGAGACAAGGCCTTGCTAATTTGCCCAGGCTTGTCTCAAACCCCTGGGCTGAGGTACTTCTCTTACCTTCACTTGGCAAAATGCTGTGATTATAGGTATGAGTTACTGTGCCCAACCAAAAAAAGTCTTCTGAGCTCTCTATTTGTCTTTTTCTCTTTTCGACCTGCTTTGAATCTGCTGGTTACTAGGCTACAGGTGTTGAGATAAAACTTTCTATTTCAAGGTTAAATAAAGATTTTGTTTATACAGGTCAGTAAATTCAACTAAATTGTAAAAACTGACAATTCATTTACAACAGAAAAGGAGAGAGGTAAAAGAAGTTTTAAAAATTAAACTGATTAGCCGGACTCGGTGGCTCAGCCCGTAATCCCGTGCCTTTGGGAGGCTGAGGTGAGTGAATTGCCTGAGCCCGCGGGTCCGAGACCCACCTGGGCAGCGAGACCTCATCTCTACAATAAATCAAAAAATCAGCCGGGCGTGGTAGCGCATGCCTGTAATTCCGGCTACTTGGAAGGCTGAGGTGGAAGGATTGCCGGAGCCCAGCAAGTCGAGGCTGCGGTGGCCGGGAGCGGCCACTGCCCTCCAGTCTGGGCGGCAGAGTGAGACTCCAACTCAAAAAAAAAAAAAATTAAACTGATTTACCCAAATTTTGTCCACAGTCTTTACTGGATCTCTGTTTATATGTGTGTATATAAGTTTATATGTGTGTATATATGCATGTTATACGTTGGGTCTAGCATGCTACCAAATTCACTTACAAATAAATTGAATACTCATAAATTAAGTAAATAAATCTAAATGTTTTTTAAGTTCATGTGACTTTAATCACCTTTGGTAAATAAAAATGACTTTACAAAGAAAATGAACATTACCGGACGTGGTGACTCACGCCTGTAATCCCAGCACTTCGGGAGATGGAGCAAGAGGATTTCCTGAGTCCTAGGATTCAAGCCAGCCTGGGCAACTTGGCAAGACCTCATCTCTACAATAAATAAAAAATTTAGCCAGGCGTGTTAGCACCCACCTGTGGTTCCAGTTACTTGGAAGGCTGAGGCAGAAGAATCGCCTGTACCCAGCAGGTCCATACAGGTCTCTAGCAGATCCATGACCGTCAGTTTGCCACTGCACTCCAGCCTGGGTGGTAGAGTGATACTCTCACTCAAAAAATAAATAAAAACAATTAAAAAATGAAAATTATTCATAAAATGAAGGGAATTGTCATCATAATTTTAGTCTGGTTATAATCATTTAAGTTTTACATTTGATTCTGCTAGATATTTTAAGGTG